AGAGATGTCACAGAAAAATGATATTTATTTGGCACTCTCAATACTGCTGAATTTTTGTTTATAAGATTGCTAAAGAAATCCTATAGTATATAGTTCAGATTAATTTGGAGCAATAAAAAGTGTTCTCACTTGTGCTCAAGCAAACTCGAGTCGTGAAATCTCAATAACTCTTTCCATGAATTTGTTTTAACATTTTGGGCATATATACATATTTGATGGATGGTGTAAAATACTGAGAAATATAAGTAGATGGGTTTTAAGTTAGGAATGCGAGCTAAAAAAATAAAAGCAAGTAACAATGCCCAAATTAGGGTGGTTTGTCTTGCTAAAGAGCAGAGATAGTTTACTATAATGAATGCTCTTACTCCTGGTTGGTTGTGTATTGCTCGAGGAGGAAGATGAGGTTTTTCTAGGGCAGTGTGTTAACTTACCCCTTCTGTATGGTAATCATTGTTTTTATAACTGATTTGTTAGAAAATATTCCTACCCAAGGTGTGATGAGGCCATTTAGAAACGATGACCCCTTCCCTAGAGCAGGGTCTGATGGTGAAGTTATCATTTTACCCTTTCTGACAGTTTCCTATAATTCTGGGGCCCTTCACTGACTTGGATTGTTTTAGGTCTACTTAGTGCGTGATGACATGCATGATTAGTCTGACGTATCCCTTGTTCAAGCTGTACATTATTTTGGTATCATTTGCATTGTGAATTGTCCGTTGCATTAAAACCAACCTCAACAAGCGATTCTTCCTCTCTAAAAGTCTTTGATCCTCATTGCTGCACTCATTAGGCTTCAGTCCTACTCAATTTTGTCCATCTTTTCATGTGGTACTGAAGAGGTATAGTGTAAGGCAACTTTTGATTCTCACTTAAAGCATTTAACTCAATAATTGAAGTCAAACTGATTAGCTCGATGCTTCATTGTTTCCATTACTGAGAATCGTTCCAGCCACAAGTATTTCTTACGCATATCTACTTAGTATATGCAGGTTTGTTTGCAATGTGCATCGAGTCAATTAGGGCGTCTTTTGTGAGACTAGACTCAAAATTTTGGTACGTTAATCACTAAAGTTCCAATATTCGAGTTAACCAGTCAATAATAAGTGAAGCTGATGTAGAACAGTGATTACTTGGAGGAGGAAGATCGCGTGCATCCAACACCTAAAGAAAAGCAAGAGAGTGATAGTAGAGACAAAATGACTCGAATTTGGAATTGATTAAGACTAGTGGTGTTTAATCCGGATCAGGCCAACAATCAAAACTCATAGCTTTACTTTGAGCTCCTTCAATTTTGGATCAAATTTTATCGTTTAAACCCTCAAAATTTCATTTTTGCCGTTTTAGGAAAGAATTCAAAAATTAATAATAAATCATAAGAAAATTCGATTTCAACACCGTTAATTTTAGTGGACTGCAGACAATACATGCTTTTAAGTTAATTAGTTAGATTTCTATTTTTCATTTTTAGTAATTTTCGTATAATTAGAGATTTTACATTTATTATGGGGACGATTAAGGTTTTGATCTTTTATATATATATATATATTCTCTTATGTAATACAAATTAGTCGGTGAATAATATATCCTATTAGAGATATTCTCCTATTTTTTTCTTTGTGAATTTAGAATGTGTGTGCTCTATACACTTAAAATCGTCGTGTTCTTAGTGTTCTGTTGCGTCGGGATGGAATTCAATTTCTTAACATTGAAATTAAAGGAACATTAATTGGAAACATATTCCATTCCTTCTTTTCAATATCCAAACTGATTATTGGAGGAATGAATACCAAACCATGCATCCAACAAAAGGCATAAGAAAAACCAAAAGAGAGAAGGGAACATATAAAAGAAAATTCCAACAGATAAAAAGTGGTTTAAATACCAAATGCCAATATACTCTTTATAAATTAAAACCAAAGTAGCATATTCATCATGGGGCGTGACATATCCTAGCAAGTAGTTATGCTAAACTCCAAGGAAAAACACCGATGACGAAAAAAGAAAAAAGCTCAACCATGCCACAAACATTCGTTGTTGTTACCACTCCCTCCCGAAGGTGGGCACACAAACAAACTATCGTGGATGTCTTGTATTTTGTTTCGATTCATTCTTGTTCTAATACGAAGCACGTTTGCTTCTAATTGAATTTTTTTCGTGGGCATTAGATTATATTGGGTTCAGTTTTTAGGATGCGTTTCTATAAATTTGACCCAAATAGGAAATTGGAAGCTCTCTAGCAATGTGACATTTCCAAAGAGGTGCGTTTTCGAGGTAAATCCCATAAATTTTGTATATTTATATGCATTTTAACGTCACTAATTTTGTAGTTTGTTTTAGGGGTGACAATTTCTGATACAACACAAAAACACTACTCAAAATCGACACGAAATTATCGGGTTAAAGTTGACCATTTTTCGACATGAAACTGCATATGACACAACCTGCTAATACGAATAAAATAAAAAATGAGTTTAGTTAATATCAAACACAAACAACACGAAATTGACATAGTTAACACGTTTAAATAGTATTATAAGAATAAAAAGTCAATTTTTTATTATATTTTATCAAGTAGTGACTTAATTTATGTACCAAAAAAAAAAGATATTTTTACTCTTTTTTATTATTATATTTATTAAGTTAAATTTTAGTTTATAAAAAAGCATGAGTATATGTTCGATTAAGTGATAATGAAATTTTAATCATAAAACTGGGCGTTAATTTTTTTTTCACGAGTTATATGAATCAACACGAACACGATAAAAAAATAAATAGATCGACACGACACAACATGATTATTTAAATGAGTTGAATTAGTGTTGATTAGTACTCGACATAAACCCAAAATAACACGACACGAACACAACCTAACACAAGACGATTGCCACCTTACTCTATGACATACACTAGTGATAGTGTATTAGTAGTAGTGGTAATGGTTTTTGTGATGTCTTTTAGGAGTAGTGGTAGTGTAGGAGAACCACTTTGTGGAAGTTGCAACAAATGCATTGAAAAAGTAAAAGATAAGGTGACTATCAAACCCTTCTTTTTGAGTTTAACGACAACGACTTTAGGCCAACTTACAATCGTATTTTATGGTTCACTGTTCACACTACTCTCTACTTGCTTGCACTCTCACACTTGCCTCGTGATTTAACTCTAAATCAAAACGATAACTACCCCCCCCCCCTTCCTTTCCTTAACTCATTTCTATATCTGCAACTCGCATGTCACGTTATGTATACTATTAGAATTGCTCACTATCGGAGTTGACAGTAGATCGTGTAGTGGCGTATCTAACTTGTAACGTGACGAAATTTATTTGATTTATACTTTATTCTTTTGTAATTGTCTATTATCGGGTTTGTGTCTTTGTCATATATAAGTGATACCCGGGTTCATTTTGATCCATTTATTAAGTAGGTTTGATGAGTCAGCCTATAATAACCAGAATTCATTAAAGACTAATTAAACACTCACTAACGTTGTGTCAATTTAGCAACGGATCATGTTAAAAATTGTCAATCCTGTTAATGAGAAAGATACCCTCGATGGAAGTCTACTAATTCTTGGTTATGGTGTGTGGGTTGATTTCAATTTCCATTTATACACCAATAAGAGAGGCCTTGGCCGAGGATTGAGAGACCCGTTACTCGACCATATAAATTGTTAATATAGGCTTAAAAGAAAGCATTTTCTCGAGGCCAAACTATAACCCCTACGTATCGTCTTAGCTCCAATTCAAATTGAGGGGAACACTTACTTGACAAGGTTTTGGCATAATCACCTATCTAAAAAAAAAAAGGTTTTGGCATAATCTCAGACATTGAAACATAAATGATTCTCATCATATTCTTGATTTTGTCAATGACGATCATGTATAAGAGATGGAACAATAAGAGGGCCCTAAGAGATTGTTTACCTAATTAGATTGGTTGTTGAAATGAGGTTAGTTGGATTACTTTAATCAGAGTTAATGGTGGCATGACCTACACCATTAACACCGCCCATGTGGTGATGTATACAAATCAAATTTAGGAGTTTGATTGAATCTTTATAAAAAAAAAAAAAAAACCTGCAGGCATAATTCCATGTGTTAAAAGTTGACTAAACACTTTGTTCAGGAACTTATATTTGATAGAATCTAATTAAATTGATGCAAAACATTTCACTTCATGTATATATTCCTTGAAAGAACAACCAGTTCACCAGCACATGGTTTAGTAATCAAACAAATGATAAGTCGTAAACTCGTACGTGTAGGATTTGAGTCTCATATAGTGAATGAAAGTTATAGTTTATCTAATGCGCATTGTTTACATTTCATTGTATGTACTTCTATTCGTTACACTGTGTGTAATGAGAGAACATATATTTAGTCTCACTCTCGATGGACTGCAATCATCTTAGACATTATTGTTTTAAGCACTACCATTCGATTTTCTTTTAATTTCAACTTTTTATCTCAAGGGAGAAATTGATTCTATCCTTATTAAATCAAAGAATTTCTTTTTCTTTTTCTTTTTTTCTTTAACTCTTTCTATGTACTTTACTAAATTTATCATACGATCTGTATCGAACCTCATTTATACAAATAAGGTTCAAATTCAAACTACAATTTTTCATCTTCAATCCAGCCTTAGAATTGAAAACATTTACTGATATTGGAGTTGAAGAACCTTAAATTGGTATAAAATCCTCAAAATATACCAGTATGGCGAATTGTTTACATATAACCAAGGTACCACCTTCTTATCCTCACGTCGAGAAAATTTTCCGTAGATTTGCAAAACACACATTTACATTGAAAAATATGACTTTTAAACCACATTTCATGAATAAAACGGTAGACTAGGAAATAAATTAGCAATGATGGCAAAGAGAGAAAAAAATAAAAAGGCTGAAAAGAACCATAGCGGCCAGCAAAAAGGTCAGCTGAATTGCAATGCATCCGCTGGATTATTTTTGGTTCACTTCCATTGCTTCTCTGGATGTTAAGTGAAGCTGATTTAAAAAAAGATAATCTAATGGCAATCTCTAAACCATACATTATCCATTAACAGAATAGTCTACATCATCCATAAAATGGGTGCACACCAGCCTCAACTTTATTTAAGAAACGAGTACACAAAAACATGGTGAATGTCTGCCAGTACTAGTACCCTTCAAAATTGCTGTTTACACAATTTCAGAGTAACCCCTTACTTTAGAAAGAGCATCCACCTCTATATGAGAAGCAGAAAAAAGTGCACACCAGATTGATTTCAAACAAAGAGCTATCATTATATGGGCGTCAAACCAACCACACCTGCACACAGATGTTCACAAGAAAAATAAACAAGAATCAATCTAAACAAATATCTGGAAAAACTAAATAAAGATTCTATATATTGCACATGTCTTGCAGTAAGATGACAGCAATGGTCTATAAATTAATTTCAATAGTCAAAAGTAGCAAAATGCACAACCGATACACAAGCTTTATGTACAGGCTCTAGCAGATATCATATGACAACCTATGCCCTCAAAAACTTAAGTCCACTTCATCTAATGTGGTTTTATAATAATGCTATTCACACCAGACAGCTACAATAGCAAGTACTATTAACATATGCTTATTTTCCACAATTTGAAACACTCAATTCCAATTATGGTCTGTAAACCAGATCTCAACATAAGAAAAAATCCATAAGGGTTTTGCAAGAATCAGAGCTAGAAAAGGATTTAAGGGAAATTTCACTTTACCCCCCGTGATTAATTCCCGTAGCATTTTAACCACCTTCACATTGGAAAATAGTCACATAATTGTTGTGTAGTTTCAAACTGTTCTTAACATATAACGCCATTAATGGCATTGGTAAAATGATCTTCATACACTCTCTCTAAGTGCATTCTCGGCACCATCACTAGTTCTGCTAACAACCAACTCAGCAACTGGTTCTAGCGTGGTAACAAGAAAGGTCAGACGCTAAAAATTGAGAGGTTGCCAATCAGAATTCATAGTCACACAGGAAGAGAGGCCAGATGGCAAGGCCATACGCCCATTTGGCATATTGTGAAGTATAGCTCACATCCAAACATTTGATTGGAGAACTGGGCTTCTACCAAGAAGGACTGGTGTGTACATAAATGACAGGAAAGCAGTTTCCACATCACCAGGGATGCAGTTACCACACATACATAAACAACATCCTAACTATCTATGTCCAAACTGTCCGATGTAGACGTAAGGTGTAGCCATTTGCATGCTAAGATCAGATCTCTCATGCAGATTGATGCAGACATAAAGAGTCATCCCACGATATATCAAGATGCACCTTGAAATTCCTTAGTGATTGGGGAAGGAAAAAAATCAAAGTACATATCTCAATTCATATTCCTTCAATAAATTTGATAATACTACCCTGGGAAAAATGTCCTGCGCTGTGCAGGATAAATTTCCTGCGAGTGAAGAAATTGCTAGACAATATGTTTTTAATGTCCTGCCAAGAGGAAATTCATCCGGAGATATGAAACCAACCCACCCCAACATCTGGTTAAAGTTTTGGTCACTGTATAAAGGATAATTTAAAAACGATGATGTTTAAATTCATTCTTCCACAAGTTCCCAATGACGGCGGATTTTCAATTTTCATTATTTTTTCAAATGGAATTTCGAATTATAAACCATCCTTATGAGTTGTACCTTATTCTAACAAATCAAACAAGAAAGCATACGTAAATATTCATCTTTCCAGGCAAGACACAAGAAAACCAAATGATGGGCCCGTAAACATAATAAAGGAACAAATGTGGAGTTCAACTTTATTACATACCACAAGCCAATCTCCCTCCTGCATTGCCAGTGGTAAGACTGAGTTCATGACCACCTACATATTAATAACCAAAAGCAGGTGAAGCGAAAAAGTATCTGATAATAATAACAGCAAACGAAGGAAGAAAAAGTAGCTGAAAATAATAACAGCAAAAGAAGGAAGAAAAAGTATCTGATAATAATAACAGCAAACGAAGGAAGAGTCTTACAACTATAGAAAACTAAGAAGTTTGCATACTAGCATTAATAAGTAGTGACAGTTGCAGGTCAAAATCGTGATGCCTTAATGTGATTATTTACCCTTTCCAAGGTCGTCCTCCAGCTCATGTACCACAAGGGCTCTTCCGACGACAGAGTTAGGACCACCCAATGGTATCTGCACATCTCAGTCGAAATAGAAGTCAATCAAAATCACCAATTAAGAATCAAAGAAACATGACACCACACAAGCACACAAAGTCTGAAGCAGTACCTGTTTGTCCATGATTGTTGCTTCCGCCACCCCTGCACCGTATTGAGCACCGCAAACAATTAGAATAACAAGAACACCATAACTATTATTGAACCAACAAACATTTGGACTGGCATTACCATCGGCATTGGCAACTATGTTTCCCAGGTCACCCGCATGACGAGCCTCGTCCTCAGGAGCTCCATGTTTCAGGCTATTTGGATTGAAATGTGCTCCTATTGTATAATAATTGAGCCAAAAATTGCAAATATAACACAAAACAACAACAGAATCAAAACTATTATCAATTAAAACACAGTAAGAACCAACACTCAAACTAAATTACGGATTAAGTCAAGTTTAATCAAATACAACCTGTTGAAATACATCCATTTGTCGTATCACCGAATTCGTGCTACAAAATTAACAAAAAATAAAACATTTCAGTCGTAATAAATAAATTACCTCACATGTGATTCAAAATTACACCATAAATTGACAAGTATATATTTGAATGATACTCACTAGATGAAACCCATGAGGTCCGGGAGTGAGTCCAGTGATGCGAACTTTCACAGTCGTTGGACCTATCATAAAATAGCATAATTTCAGCTTCTATATATCCATATTCATGGAAGAGGTATGAGAGAGAGAGAGAGAAACCTCCTTCGTCTTGGGAGAGGGTAACGACACCTTCGACATTGGAGTTGCCCTTGAGGACGGCGACGGCTTTCTTGGCGGCGGCGACAACGTAGAGGGGTTTCGGTGCGGTGGCGGAAGTGGCATTGGTGAGAGCCAGAGATTGACGGGTGAGCTTGAGGGAGAGGCCGTGAAAGGAAGTGTGGAGTGGTGGTGGTGATGATGGGTTAGGGGTTGAGATTGGGAAGAGGAGAGAATGAGACGGGGTTGAGGTGAGGATGGTGTGAAGCGCCATGGCTGCTAGAGCTCCTTGCATTGTTGGCTGAGAGACTCCAAGTTAAAGACGAAGAGTAAGAGATAATGTGATGTGTGTGAGCCTCTGGTGAGCTCTTACTGATTCTCTCTCTCCCGCTGCTGTACGAGTATCATCTACCCGGCCAGTATTTGTTTGCACTCAAAAAATAATTTAAAACAAAAATCAAACCAATTCTAGCTTTTTGGGGTAGGGAGTGAGGGAGGTGGGTTTGTCTATTCAGATCGGATCTGGTCCATCCGAATTCCAATTTGAATCCAATCTGAATCCAATTAAATAATTTATAAACAAATCCGATCCGCTTATCCGAATGATTGAAAAATAGAACTTCATATCCGAATTTATTTATAATCAAGCATCCGATTCAATTACCCAATTTGATCAAGAATAATAATCGATAAGAGCATAATATTTAATATTTTTAATTCTTTTATATTTAATTTTATGACATATTTTATGTTTAAGTGAGCTGGTTAATATATTTATTGAATTAGAGAAGCATTGAAGGTAGAAGAATAGATATAGAATATATTGTGCAACTTTCAACTTTTAGGTCATTTTAATCTATGGAGTTTTAATTGAGGTTTGGATGGCGTTAGAGTTTCAAAATGAGAAAGTGGTCTTCATGAAATTTTTAGAGGATGTCTTAAGCTTTTCAGAAAGGTATGATTTGTGAAAATCCAAGTTCGTTTGGGCCTCCAAACATTGTTTCAAAGCTAGGCCTGAAAAGCTTATCAGAATCCTAATTGGAGTTGGATTCCTGTCCGACCCAATAAACTTCAGTCGGTCATAACTTGCTTTTTCGAAGTTCAAATCAGGTGATTCAAAAGTCAAAACTTATCTACACATCCAGGGCTACAACTTTCATCAAAAGCCTAAATCAATATTCAGTCGTTATTTGATAGAAGAACAGCTCACAAATTCCAGCACGATTTTATGATTTCTGTCAATCTGTTTTGATAAGGAATACATATAATGTAGGGATTTGAGTTGTACACATCTTTGGAAGTGTCATATGTTTTCTATATGTATCTATGGTTTCCTAGAAAGAAAGGAAAGAGATCAAGGAAAGGAGACACAACAATTTTTATACAAACTTGGGTTTACCTAAGTAATGAGTAGTTGATTTCCTTTGTTCGATTAAAGGTATTCTAAGTTGGTATATGATTTTGTGAGACTTGATTTAATTATTTAATATCAAATTTATTTGAATGATATGATTTTTTGATTTATTGATGAGATTACATAGTTCTTTTGATTAAGGTGCACACTAATTGATGTTTTATGTGATGAATGCTAGATTAAGTTCTTGATCTGTAATTATCTTGAAACTTGATTGTAGTAGAAATCAGATTATGCAGTTGTTTTCCAAACTTTTTGTTATTAATATGAGGGAATTATAAATTGGACTAATAGTTCTTCGTTGGTGGAGATTTGTTATTCAATCTTAGTTGTTCTTAAAGCTGTTATTAATAGAAAGAGGATTCTTAATACCGAATTGATTAATAACAAGATTTAATATGAGTACTAAACTTGTATTAATGTTTATAGAGATAAAGAAGGTCGTATAGCATCTAAATGATCTTTGAACTAAGTTTTTGATAGGAGTTGATTGTTTGTGTGTCTATGATCAAATCCATAACCAACAGTTGAATTGCTTTTGACCCAATGTTTCATTAATTGATTCTTGTTAACGATTTGATAATCTGATTTTGTGACAAACAAACCCTCCTTTTTATTTACATATTTTTGCACTTGTTACCAGTTAAGTTAATTCATTTCTCTGTGGCATTGACCCTTGCTTGCCACTGCTATATTTGTAGTGTAGAGGTAAGGAATTAATTTTGGCTATGAACGACACACACCAGTACTTCACCAAAATTTTAATAAATAATCTTTTTTTTAGAACAAATGTAAATAATCAATATATATATGTGTGTTTATTATATATATATATTAGGGATAGCTTGTGTCCGAAGACACGGTGCAACGTAATTAAGAAGTGATGAATTTTTTAGGGGGAGAATTTAATGTGAATGATTTTGAGAGAGATGTTGATGATCATTGAATGAGTCTATTTGAAACCGTCAGATGGACTTATTGAAATTTGTCTTATTTTAAATCGATTTAATCATGTCAGACTGTATATATCTATATCCATATCTAATTTATGATATTTAAACATATAAAAAATATTGGTTAATATCTAGTTAAACGAATTCAGATCAAATCCGAATTGAAATTTGTTCCATTGAGAGGCATAGGTAGAGGTAGCCATGTGAATAATTTCGGTGGGGCCAAGTATGTGTCAAATTCATGCTAAAAAATGTTTTACTCATATCCAATTTATTTATTAATTTGTGTTTAACAAATCGTGTCATTTCGAATTTGTATTGTGTTTGAATCGTATACAACCGACATATAAATAAGTCGTATCATACATTTATTTTGATTGACTTCACTTATATTAAAATAATTGTCATCTATATAACAAAGTAGAGTTAAGTTTGAATTCAGAGATAAAGAGAGGTCCAGATCATTTTAAGATAAAACATAAACACATTCAACAGACAATATAATCCCAACATAAAAGACGATTCAGATCATCTCAAAAATTTTGATCAAACGGTCAACAGTGAATACTAAATTACCATTTTCGGGCCAACTCAGGCCTGTCTCTCGCGCCTCTCTCTCTCACTTGTGCCTCTCCCTTTTTCTCACGCCTCTTTCTCCCAATATATAACGCCTTTATCACATGGAATCCATCTCAAAATCTTCTCCCAATCTCAAATCTCATTCATAATACTGGCCTCACAAACAGCCTAAGACTAAGAGGGCAATGCTTCATTCCCTGGACAAAGGGCTTCATTTGATTCTCCGAAATTCAATTCACCACAGAATTTCATTGGCAAGGTAAGTTTATTTCAAGATATCCATATGAACTGTTGTAATTCCTTCAAAGAAAACATCTATATTTTGTTGTTTTTTTTAGTTTTCCCCTTTTTATTCTGGACTTTTGTTGATTATTGATACTTGGGTGGTTTCGGTTTGATAGAATTTGTTTCGTGGCTCTGATTTTTATATATACTCACCACATGTTCGATGAAAGTACTGAGAGAGTTTTGTTCCTGTTCGTTATTCAATTTTTTCCTTTTTTTTCTTATGTATTAAATTTCGAATACTAGAATGGCATTTGGGATGTGAATTTTAATATTTATGACTGCCTGTGATTGAGGCCCATCGTTGTTCACACTATTTCCTTTTTCCCCTATTCATTCTCCATTGTTGTTCACCCTATTAATGACTGCCTGTGATTGAGGAGTTCTGACTGCTTGTGATTGAGGAGTGTTGTGCATCATTCTTAAGGAGTTCTGGATTTGTGCTTTGATTTGTGTTGTTTTTTGGGATAGGAGTTCTGAATTTTTGTTTGTTCGACAGTCTCTTACTCGCTGCCATCTTTGTTGAATTTTTTGGTCTAAAGTTCACTCGCTCTGATTTTTTTTTCTTCCAATTTTACATTTGCCAATTCATTAATGGATTTCTACAAAAATGTATTTATATGCTATAGGTTTACTGGATGCAAATGTTAACAAATTGGAAACAGCCCCAAAGATTAGGCGACACTAACTATTTGAGGAAGCAAGACCAAACCCTCCCTGACAAATTTTGTCCAAGCTATGTCTTCGGGCATGAAGACCTCAGTTTGACCTCTTCTAGCCAATGTTCAAGATTAGCCAATGCTTCTGATACAAAAAAAAAAGAGAAACAAAAAGAAAAGAAAAGAGTAGGAGAATTCTTTGTTTTGATTTTCATATCAAACCATGGCACAACAAAATATGATTGTTTTCTATTACTGATCAATTATTTCAAAGCAAGATTCACAATCATTTTTTCGATTTCGTTATATATTGTTGATAGAAGAACATGCTATTATGCTATCATTGTTGGTTACTGTCTAAGTTCAGCTATAACTTGGGTCGCTTCAAAGTGGAAGTCTTTGTTGTTTTTTTAGGATCGTGGATGCCTTCATTGGAATTGCTTTCTTTATTACAAAAGAAACTGGAATTATTATTGTTAGATAGTCGCTCAAAAACATTCTAACTTCATAGTGCAAGTCTTCTAATACAGTGTAGCCTATGCTAGAAAAATGATATTTTCATGGCAGTCTGCCAATCTTCATTGGGGAAAAAAAACACTAAAGGGTAATAACATTGTTTGCTTTGTTGCTAGAGGTCGATAGCTCTCTATTCGTATTGATATATTTTGATGTGGTGTACTTAGTTATAGTGGAAGTTTTTTGTACTTATATTGCATTTAGGAGTTTTTCATCTGATTACTTTATATGTTTGGTTTTGCTACATTTTGATTTCTTTGTTAGTTTATGGATTGAATTTGTATCAGAAAGAGCTACAGACACATTGCCGCCAATATCACATGATATTTTTCTATTTCTCCTGTCTAACATCAAGTGGGATTTCTTTTTTTTTTTTTTCTTTTGCTCTTCTTTATCATTTTTTTGTTAAAGTGTAGTAACATTCGACATTGTGTATTCCTCGTAGTGGGTGGATTCTATGTGTACATTTTTTTTTGGGATTAAAGTTCTCTGAGTATGATTTTTGAATATAAAGTAGGTTTTATATGTTGATTGTTCCAAAACTATGGCTAAATTTTTGTTATTTTGGTGTTTGTATGTTGATGTTTGAGGACTACACTTGCAAAAGTGGGAGCATTTGCACCACAATATAAACTACGGCTAAATTTTTGTTCTTTTGGTGGTTATATAATGATGTTTGAGGACTACACTGGCTTAGTGGTTTCTTGAAAGCAATGGAAATTTGAATTTACTGATTTACAGAGTGATGACGTTTATTTTGTTTTTTGGGTCCAGGTGAAAAATGTTAAGTCTGGTGTGATGGTAACTATATCACATGCATCATAAGTACTTTAATAATCTTTTTGCACGATACTACCATAATATGGTTTTTGCTGTTTAGGGATGATCATTTCCATTACTAGCATGGATGGAATGGAGGAATTTATATTGGAATGGGTGAGTTGGATTTTTTAATATCTTCCGGCTTGAACGGGATGGACGTGAGACTCGAATTCTGATACTTTTTCGTGATGGTACAAGGCTAGTATAATGTTTTTTGTTAAAAGACAATGAGTTCTAATTTTAGCTATTCTCTTGAGGCTTTTTACGCACATTAATATTTAGTGCTTGTTTATTTCTAACGTATCTATGTTAAGTGTTTGATTGTTTTGTTTTCAAAAACAATGTAAGTTTTTTTTTTTTATTTAAATTGCACAAATTTAGGCATGGATTATGGGGACAATTTAGACTTTCAGTTTAGTACACGTTCGAGTTCAGTGTTTGATTATTTCGTACCCAATTTTAGTGTTTAATGTTTTTTAAATTATACCGTGCTTTCAAATACGAGTTATCTCTAGTGTTTTTATGTTAATATAACTTATCTGTTATTTGAGGTGACATGGACTACTCGTATACTAAAAATTCAATACTAACCTACTCTCTTAAAAAAAAAATCACCACTCATGGTTTCCTAAAAAATTAGAATCCACTTGATTATTTGTCTCATAAAAATTAAGTGAAAGATCTTTTAAGAGTACAAAAAATCATACAATATCTAATCAACAAGTGAAAAAGAAAGATTTTTTTTTATATAATACTTACGAATTTATCATACCATAAATAAGATATTTTAGTTTCACACAATCCATTTATCATTTGTTTTTATTAGATTGTGCTATTCTCGGGCATATATAAAAAATTATTTAATTTTAATTCATTAATTTCGTGTCAGGTTGATGTTGATTTAATATTGAAAAATAAAAATAATTAGAGTGTCTATTGAATTTTTAAAACTTTTCTTCCCCAAAATTAATTTCAATGGAATTGGATACAACCCATGCTTTTCATTTTTCTAAAAACTCAATATTATACATTGATCTTCGGTCCAAACATAAGGGATTAATTTTAAGATAAAGAACTTATTTTTTTATTTTAATCTTTTTCTAAACACAATACATACAAGATATGATAAAATAGTACAATGACTGTTACTATTAAATTAAAATTAATTGTTCAATCATATCTCATGTCATACCCAAAATCAAATACGCCTAATAATTATAATTACAATAATATTTTGAAACCACTTCCACAAACACGTTTCTGAAAAATATTGAAAAAGGTATGTTAAATATGTTTTGTACATTACAACATGAATTTGATAAATTAGAAATAGGTTAGCATTGAGTAAAAAAAAATGTTGAAAAAATTTAATTTAAGGTTAATTGCATCGAAAATTCCAAAGTATAGAGTTTGTCTCATTTTAGTCTATAATATTTGAATTACATCAATTTAATCTCTGAAATATTGAATATACTTCTATATGGTCCCTCAAAGCTCAAGCAGACAACATCTAAATTTTTAATAATTTTTATCATAAATTTGTTATATGTAATAATATGGATAAAAAATAATTTGGGTAGTTATTGACTAAAATTATTTTATTTTTTTTGCCCATATTAGCTATTATGTGATAAGTTTATAATAAAAAATTATTATTAATCTAAAAATTATTTGTTTGGAGAATTACATAAAAATATATTTAATACTTTAAAAATTAAAATAATACAATTAATATATATATTAAAAATTAAAATAAAACAAATTTTGATTAAGAACGACCCTTACTTTGTAAAACACTCTCGTCGTCCTTTCCAACGATAGAGTGACAAAACGATATAATCAGATTCCTACTTTCCGCACCGAAGAGAGAGGTTTCTCAGTCCTTCTCCTTGTCCAAAGTCCAAACGGTGAAATTCCATTCTCCCTCAAAACCCTCCAATTTCCATGGAAAACCAACCCCGATAACAACCCACAGTTCATCCACTCCATGGACGCACCCGATCCTAATCCCTCATCATCTGTTCGAGTCCTTACTCGCCCTCCAATCCCACCCTCTCTCTTTCCTACCACTCCTCCAATCCCACCTCCACGTACCCCACCAGACCCCTTAAACCCACCATCTTCCCTTTCACCCTCCTCACAGACCGGCGTCGTCGTGGTCGGCTTCATCGGAAAGCGCCAGGACGATGTGACCCAACTCATTAATCGAATCATCGACTCCAATGTGTTTGGTTCTGGGAATTTTGATAGGGTTTTTCGTGTTGAGAAAGAGGGACTTGGCGAGGAGGTGAAAAATTGGTTTAAGTGTCGGCGTATTAGTTACTTTCATGAAGAGGAAAAAGGGATTTTGTATTTGCAGTTCTGTTCCACTAAATGTCCGGTGATGGAAGGCTTTTCTGAGTCTGAAACGGGTTTTGATTCACTGTTGGAAGATTATGAGTTTGGGGATCTTCAAGGAATGCTGTTCATGTTCTCTGTGAGTGTTTTCTTTTCGGACCCATTTGTTTAATTTATTTTACAATTTTGTTATTTCAATTGTGTTTAAGTTTTGCCCAGAATTTGAGTTGACTCATGTGATTGAATTTGAACACGGAATGGGGGTGGTGTGATTCCATAGTCACTGAAATTAACCTTGCAAATGAGGTTATTAGTTGAAATCCTAAACTGCCAATGCAATAAAGGGTAATAATTACCTTATGCTGCAGTAATTTGTCCATTTAATAAGGTAAAGCTCATTTTGATTATCAACGTGCTACATAGGCAATGAATCAGAGCTGTGTTAAGCGCTTTCAACTCATGCTGTTATCATGTTGTGTGGTGTTTGATTATTCATTTTCACATGCATCCCATGGAACTGTTAGGTTTTGTTAGTAAGTGTTTAAAATACTTTACGATGGCATGAAAGGATGGAAACCATAGTTTTAAATATTTTTATATGCTTAGTAATGAATTTGGAGTTTGTTTGGGTGCATAACAAAATTGAATAAACCCATTCGTTTTATGTACCAATGGAGCAAAAGATCCACTTCCTAAAATTTAGGTTATAAGCTAGAGGCAATCACTTCCAATGATGCTATTAATTGGATGAGATTTTCTTGAAAGGCACTTCTCTAAGTCTTGATTAATATTGGCTGTGAAGCTTGCACGCGGGCACGTGACACAAATATGAGATGACAAGGCCACATTAATACAATCAATTATAGAACAAAATGTAGGACAGGAGTCAGGGACATCACAAGGACACACTCAAAATTAATGGGTTCTTGTTGCATACATATTTACAATATATGCCAACCAGGATTTTTAATAATTAGCTCTTATATCTATTGCAATAAATTAAAAAAAAAATGCAATATGATTTTTCCAACTCCTGGGTATTGAGTCATATTAACTAACATTCACCCACGCTGTCTAGACTAAGTAGAAAGGCCAACCTGAGAGGGAAGCAAGCCGGGACCAAGCTGATACTTCTTCTTTGATAAGCTTTCAATTGTCTTCCTTTAGCTTTGTTTGATACTTAATTTATGTCAAAGCGTTTTATTGAGGATCATTGTTTGATATGACAAAAACTGCTATAATTAATAGTCAGAATTTAAGTTAGTTCACTTTATAAAGCTTGCCTTTATGATTATACTTAACTCGAATAATATTTAGTGACTCAATTGCCTTTAGTAATGCAGGTTTGCCATGTAATCATATTTCTTTATGAAGGGTCGCACTTTGATACCCAGATTTTGAAAAAGTTTCGAGTGTTGCAAGCTGCAAAAAATGCAATGGCTCCATTTGCTAGGTCACAAATTGCCCCAACTTTGTCATCTAGGTTGCATTCTTCACCATCTACCCGAAATTCTGTCCCAGGAACACCTTCTAACAATCCTTCTCCTGGTAGACGTGGTGGCATCTTGGCTCGCAATGGTTCAGCAATTACACTGCTGTCGGGTTTAGGTTCATACACTTCTTTGTTTCCGGGACATTGTACTCCAGTTACACTTTTTGTTTTCCTTGATGATTTTTCTGATGTTAATCCCAGTTCTACTTCTGAAGAGTCAATGGAGACCTCCCCAGTAAACCACGCCTCAGGTTCAAACAGTTTAGCCAGGCCAAGCTTGCCTACGAAAGGATCTGGGTCAGTTGTTATGCTTGCACGCCCTATGAGTAAATCTGAAGGTGGATTCAGGAAGAAACTGCAGTCATCCCTTGAGGCACAGATTCGTTTTTCAATTAAGAAATGTAGGACACTTTCGGGTTCAGATTCTAGTCATGCTGGGTCAAGGACAGGAGGTATTTCTGGTAGTTCAGTGCCTTTGTTTGCACTTGATGCATCAAAAGCTGTGGCACTAGTAGACATACGTTCAAACCAGGTGGGCGAATCTCTCGAGTTTGCCACTGGCCTCGTGGATGATGTTCTAAATGGAAATGCAACCTCAGATTCACTATTGCTTGAAAGCCCTTGCCAGAATGCCAACAAAGAAGGCATTCTATCTGTTAAGGAGTTTATCCACAGGCAGTCTGATATTTTAAGAGGGAAAGTGGGTTTGGTTGCCAACAGCAACAGTGGCTCAGCTGCTGGTGTTGGTATGGTAGCTGTTGCTGCGGCTGCTGCGGCTGCCTCAGCTGCTTCTGGAAAGACAATTCCTACTCCTGAACTTCCTCTTCTGGAGATCTGGTTATCTTCTGCTCAACTTATTCTACAGGGAATTCTTTCTGCAAAACGTGGGTGCATATATGAACCTGAAATTAGCAGAAGAAAACCACGTCAACGTAATGTTGTGTCTCCACCGGGGGAAGGAATTGCTCTGAAAGGTACATATCCTCTAGAAATTGCTGTATCTTATTTAGAATGTGGTATAGGACTGAACGCTAAATTTTCTACTTCCTGGTGCCAAAGATCCCTTCCGGTTGCAAAGGAGGTCTATTTGAATGAGTTGCCTGCTTGTTATCCAACTTCTCAGCATGAGGCTCATTTGGAGAAAGCTTTGTGTGCTTTTAACTTGATGGTCAAGGGACCAGCTGTGCCACTTTTCGTGAAAAAACTGGAGGATGAATGTACATCCATCTGGAGTTCTGGAAGGCAACTATGTGATGCGGTTAGTTTGACTGGAAAACCATGCATTTACCAGAGACATGAGGTTGAAAGTGGTGGTTTTCCCCTGACGGATGAGATGAGGCCACATTCCAGTGGACTTGTATTCCTTCATGCATGCGCTTGCGGTCGCTCTAGACGACTACGATCTGATCCTTTTGATTTTGAAACAGCTAATGTTACTTCCAATAGTTTTCCAGACTGTGACAAGCTTCTTCCTGCACTCCAATTACCCCAGGGAAGTGGTACAGGGCCCATTCAACCATCTTCATGGAGTTTGATTCGAGTCGGTGGTGCAAGGTACTATCAGCCTTCTAAAGGTTTGCTTCAGAGTGGCTTCTGGGCCACTCAGAAATTTCTTTTGAAGTGGATAATTTTTCTCGAGAAACATAAAAATCTAGATGGTGCACCCACAAGTAATTTGCTGCAACTTTCTGTAAATAACTTAGGCAGTGAGTGCAAGGTTGAATCTATGGAAGATGATACAAATAAGGCTGATGCTGCTCAGTTTCATCTGGGAGAAATGCAAAGTGGGGTTGAAATGCAGATTAAAACCCACTCAGAAAATGTTAATTCTGATGACAAAAAGATCAGTTTTGGTAGAGAGATTCCCAAATTTACGATGAGGAAACCTTTTTCTGAGGTTGTTGCTGGATCGGCAGCTTCTAATTCAGGATTTCCTCCACTTCAATCAAGAAAACAATCTTCATTAGGCTCAGAAAAGGGTACTAAGCAAAATATTGCAAGGGACAGGGGCGTGGAGCATATTCAAGAAACCACCGGTAATCAAGGATCTCAAAAAATTGCAGATGTCTCTGCTGTTCATGAAACAGGGAATGGGAATGGGATTGGTATTAATGGAAGCACTGATAGTAAGCCATTTGTCCAGATCGGTAGCAACATAGTTCCAGTGAATATTAAAAATGGTAAAAAGATCAAACCAAACACTTCTTTGAAGCATGTAACGGTATATGTTGGATATGAGCATGAGTGCCCCTATGGACACCGGTTCATATTGACTCCAGAGCATCTCAATGAACTTGGCTCCCCTTATGCAATGTCTGAAGAATCTCATGTCTTGTCATCTGTAAAGAATTCGGACCTGAAAGTCGGGGATCCTCTGAAATTGGTTAAGAATGGTAGCCATGGAAAAATCCAGCAGCGCTCAAATGGGAGGATTAATGCTGCTGTTGATAATGTAAGAAACTTAGACAAGTCAAAAGAGGGTGTGGCTAATGGTAATATATATTTAGATGGGCCAATGCAAGTCTCCAGACAAGGAAAAGAACAAAACAACATGTCAATAATACCTGATACTGTTAAGGATCTTGAAGCCAGTCTTCAGTCTGTTAGCCTTGATGATGGTGGTTATGATTTTGCCTTATTGAACAGAAATATACCGCTATACATGAACTGCCCTCGCTGCAGGGACTCTATGAACAAGAAGGAACCATCAAATGTTAAATTTGCAGGCACAGTATCACAGCTCCAAAGGATCTTTCTGGTAGGAATTCGTAATTTAAAGCCTCTTCTTTCATTTACTGTCTCTTTCTTGAATTTGATCTGATATGGCCTGCACTCAGAGTTTTGAATGTGTATCTGATTCCTTAATGTTTCTACTGGCTAAATTAAGTGCAAATATGTACTTTACCAAACATGAAGTATTCTCTTTGATGCTTGATAGAACACTGAAACAGATTGGTAATATTGCTTAATGGCACTGTTAGTATTAGTAATCATTGATGTAGAAAGGTATCTGGTTTTCCAACTTAATGTGGTCAGATTTATAAATTCATTTACCAAATGACTTATATATGGTCTCGTTTTGTCTAGCAAGAGAAGAAATTAACTGAGACAGTGGATCTTAGAACTGGTGACCAACTATGATGCCTGAAATTCCTTAATTGGTGATAAATATGATTATGGGTTAAGTTTCTTTGTTATTTTTCCTCATGGTTCAGCTGTAATTATTCATTTGGAAGGTCCTATCTGAAAAAAAATTATTCATTAGGAAATTTACTTTGTCATCACTTGTGACTAAGCCTGTACATTTTGTGTAACCCAGCTCTTTTAACATTTTAAAGGACACATGGCACACAAATACAAACTGCTCGCACAAATAAAATAAAGGGTTGATTGTACTTTTGGTCTCTAAAAATATGCAAGTTTTATCAGTGTAGTCCTTAAAGTATCAATTTTATCAATTAGGTCTCTAAAGTATTCAATTCGTGTTTAAATGGTCCTTAAACAGATATATCGTTAATTTTTTGACGGAATAATCATGTATTGGTCATGTGATATCACCTTAAAAAATGACACATGATCACTTCCGTCAAAAATCTTAACGTCTCATTAGGGACTAATGTGACATGAATTGAAACTTTAGAGACCAAATTGATAAAATTAATACAATGAGGACAAAACAGACAAAATATTTATACTTTAGGGGCTAAAAGTGTTATTAACCCTAAAATAAAGTGCTGCTGATTCTAGTAATAGGTATTTTCTTGGATGCATATGGTCAGACAATATGTAGCTTGATAGTCACCAAACTATTTTTCATGTGGCTCAAAGTCCAGACACAACTTCCCTCGTACACATGTTTGTAGATAGTAACTGATGGTCTTACTAGGTAGTTAAAAATGTGGTGGACAGCAGTTATGCTGATTTTATACTCCTGGATTATTGCTGGTTGCAAATGAGCTGCAGCTTCTCTAGGAACAATTCATCTAATGGGTTTTGCAGCAACCTTGTTTAGTTTGAACGTAGGACTTTTACTGGATAAGGTATGACAGAATGAAACTGTAAGCGACAAAACAGAGAAATCACATTCTAAGGATTTGGAAAGGCGAGACATAGCCCGAGGATGGAAGTCTGAGAAGAGGAGTAACCTTTTGAATCCACGGGAAGGCGAGAAAGAAAGGAGATAAATATATGAAATATAAAGAGAAGCAGACTGAGAGGGAACCCTGAATCCACCGTGGGCCATTGATCAACAAGAGAAGAAAAAAGGGGGAAGATAGAATAGTTGCATTTGAGAGAAGAGATGAAAGAGAGATAATAATGGATAATAAATAGAAAGGAGAATAGAAAATCAACGATGAGCAAAAATATAAAAAGATAAACAAGAGTAAGAAGGAACATATGGGGACAGAAAGAAACAGACTAGCTGTGTCCATCACCCAGAGAACTCACTTCTTTGAGGCTGTCCTGCAGCAGCAACTTTGAGAATTATATATAGCATCCACAAAACCCTTCAGTCAAGTAGAAATGATGAAATTGGTCGTTTGCATATTGAGCAATTAAATGCAACTCCCCGTACACTAAAAGCACCTAAACTTCAAACATAACAAGATAGTAAGAACGTGACATTATATGGCCCTGAGATACGCATGTATGTTGCTGTGGAGTCTGAAACAGACATCAATGTTGGTGCTCTATTAGTAAGATTCGGTCTAATTTTATTCTATATTGCGGTGTGTGGATAATTTAGTCCTTCAACACTCTTTTTCTGTGCCATCAATCCCTCCAAAAAAAAAAAAAACCAAAAACAAACCAAAGAAAGAACCCAACAAACAATTAAAAAAAATTCTCTAATGCATCTTTGTCTAGCTACACCTCAGAGTGCAATATGCCGTTCTTATTTATTTTTTTCAAGAGTAGATGCATGCATTGTATGCAAGGATCGAAATTTGGTTCTTTTCTACCGAAACAATCAAAACGTTTCTATTTTCAAGGCAACCAACAATAATCAATGGCTCACCATCAAAATTCCAATGTTTCAAGGTGATTCGGAATGTTTTGGGATGTTTTTATCAATGATTGGGAAATAAATGTTAATTTTTTTCTCCTTTTTCATTTTGTTTCCAATGAGACCAAAACCATTCACTGTAATGAAATTTTGATTTTTGATTGTGTAAACTCTGTGGTGCTATTTTTATTGCTGTTCTTATGGCCTTTTTGAGGCCTGTATGCATGTTATTTTTTGCCTCACCAGGTCAAATTGACGTTGACTCAAACTTACATGTAGGGTACAATGCAAACTTCTTTTGATGCTTATGGTGTGTATATTTAATAAATATCATCTTATTCCATTGGTTTCCTCCACTGGAGTTTTGACATTGCTTTGTTGGTTGCCCTCTGTCATTTCAAGGTTGCATCCTTTTTTTGTTTCCTTTTTCTTGTTAAATAAGTAGGTAATGGAATAGAGTTATGTATTTCTTGTTATTATTAAAGATAATACTAATAGCAGATCAAGCTTTGGGTGGATTACTTGGCGCAAAAATAAATTCGGGCTGGATGCATTACTTTTTGTTTTTTGAATTTAATATCTATGGGTTTCCAATAGTAGATAATAGGTCAGAGAACATGATTTTTGACCAATCGTTTCTTTGATGCATAATTATTTTCACTTATGAACTAAATTTCATTTTATTGCTCTTTATCCTTGAAATTAAAATTTTAATTTAACTAGTTATATGATATTTGCATTAGCAAAAATGCATCGGGTGCTTAATCACCCTGAAGGGAGATTGATCGTTGAAGATGAACACCACAGCCCTTTTCTTTTTCTTTTTCTAGTTCAGTCTTGACTGAGTTTGGTTGAGGAATTACAAAAGGAAACAAGATTTGGGAACTTTAGTTGAGTTTGAGAAGGTAGCCAGAGTGTGGTTGCATGTCCAATGAAATGAGGAATGGCTCCAGTGTCATTTGTTTGATCTGAATGCGGCCATCATGTAAGGACAGAGAATAGCTAAGACAAGTGATCAGATGTAATAAGTCTACGAAAACTCAATACCATTAGATTTGATGGTTTTTCAAGGTCAAATGCTATGTAAAGCACGACGAAGCGAAACGAATTCCATTATACATTCAAATGTGGGTTGTTTCATTGTATTTTTAGTTGGTATTTATGATTAGACATTGATGGGTGAATTTTGCATGCTGACATTGTAATATCTAGTAGCATGTTTGCGACTATGCAGACAGATTGTAGGAGCTCATTGACCTCAAATATTCATTAGTTATTGATTTATTCATTAGTTGGAATTGAAATATGCTGCGTCTTGTGTAGGTCACACCACCCTTTCCAGTTATGTTAGCAACATGCCCGGTTGTACAATTTGAGGTACGTATTAGTTGGGTTACTGTAATTTGTTCACGACTATGGGATTTGTCAAATTTTACTGTATGACTCCAGTCTCATGAATGAGGGATATCTTTGGCAACCCATCTTCTATGAGGACACATGGCTCTCAAAATTGCAACTGCCCCCTTTCGCATTTGGATTGAATACCCTCTTGTGGGATAATTTAGAAGTTGGATCCCAACCGTGCATTACATCCACTTGTTCATTATTACTGTTCTCGTAATATGTTTAGAGACCTGGTTGGCAGTTGGCACATATTTTGTGCTGCTTTCTCCATCTAGTGGTTGGAATGTTTGGAAGTTGCAATTTTGTTTTTTGTCATTGGATCAGTTTTATTTACTGTTTATGATTTGCAGGCATCAAGCCTACCTGCATCCATTTTGGACCGTCAACAGAAACTGCAGTTCAGCCTTGGCTGCCGTGTGATTTTGCCTCCAGAGAGTTTCCTCTCGCTCAGGCTTCCATTTGTTTATGGTGTCCAACTAGAAGATGGAAATCTGCACCCTCTTAAACCTTTTCAACAGCAACCAGAACTAACTGCCTGGATTACCCAAGGCTCAACATTGCAGGTCTTGTCCAAGGGAAGCAATGCTGTTGAGGAATCACTTACATAGTACTGAACCTATGAGTCGAGGCAGTGGTGATTTACTTCTATCGAGAGTTTGCAGAGGAAATTTTCTTTGGACATTTCTGCCCAGCCTCAGGTGAGAATAATGTTTGACGCATACTTAATTCTTTAAAGGATAAATTTCACGAATGCCCCCTGGAAAATAGCCTAATTGCAGGGACACCCCCTATAGTTTCTGAAATATTACTATCACCCCATGTCAGATTTTGTCTTTAACGAAATAGACGGAAATTCTACTTTTACATAATTACCGTTAACAGAAAACCCTTTTTACTCATTTACCCTTAACAGAACATTAAATTTAATTAAAATTGATTTTCAATTTCATCAGTTTCATCAAATTTATCAATTTCATAGTTAATTTTATCAATTGACTTTTACTTTCATTAATTCAGATATTAATTTCATCACATTACCACTAATTTCATCAATTTAACATCAAATTAATATATAATTTTATCAAATTCGTATTAAATTTCATCAAATTAATATTTTAAAATTTAATTTCGTCAAATTAACATTCAATTTATTTAATTTAGAATTTAGTTTCATCAAATTGACATTTAGTTTCATTAATTCAAATATTAATTTCATCACACTAACCCTAATTTCATCAATTTAATACCAAATTAATATTTAATTTCATTGAATTCATATTGAACTTCATCAAATTAACATTTTAAGATTGATTTTTTTCACAATAGCATTCAATTTATTTAATATAGAATTTAGTTTCATCAAATTGATATTTAATTTCATTAATTCAAATATTAATTTCATCACATTAACATTAATTTCATCTATTTACCACCAAATTAACATTTTAAAATTTAATTTCGTCAAATTAAAGTCAAATTAATATTCAATTTATTTAATTTAGAATTTAGTTTCATCAATTGAATTTCAATTTATCAAATTAAAATTCAATTTAATCCAATTAACACCTATTTTATCAAATTTAATACCAATTAGCATTCAATTTCATGACACACCTATTTTGTTAGATGTTAACAATCAACTTCATGTTATTAATGAAATAGAATATCAAATTGCTATTAATTTGGCGAAATTAAAGGTTGATTTGAGGAAAATTGAATATTTATTTGATGAAATTTGAGGTCAATTTTGTGTTAATTTAATAAAATTGAATGACGATTGGTTGGATGTAGATTCGCTAACATCATCACTTTTTTGGCCTTGTCAGTAGTATCATATCATTGACAGTAGGGGTAGTAATTGAAACAGACATATGAATTATAGGGGCGGAACAGTGATATTTGAAAAACCATAGGGGTGTCCCTGTAATTAGGTTATTTTCTAAGGGTGTTTGTGAAAGTTACCCTTCTTTAAATCTTTGTTGTTCTTCATTTAATTGACAGTCTCTGCTCTAGCATATCTTTTTTTTTTTTTAACTCTTGTTATGTATATCTGTTCCGCCTCTTTTGCAAACACTGTTTGCAGTAGATATTGGCTGATTTTTCAGTTTAAATAGATTCCCTTGGAAACAATCAGAAAAATGAAAAAAAAAATAGTTTTCTTGTGTAGCACCGAGCACTGCAACTTTTTGGACAACATTCTGGAGATAAATACTGAAGTCAGTATTTCATAACCTTGAGATACTTATTTTTATAAAGTATAATCATATTAAGTCAAATGCGCTAAAGGGGAAAGTGGAGATGGTGTTGGCATGTTATGTCTTTTGTGAGTGAAATTAGCCAAACTGTATGATGTCGTTGTAAGCCAATGACGATTAAGGGAATTATGAAACACTATGTTAAAAAATTAGTTCTAGTTGATATGTGCATGTTAAGGATTCTGAGAAGCAAGTGAGGGCAAATAATCTGCACACTTCATGTTAAAAAATTAGTTCTAGTTGATATGTGCATGTTAAGGATTCTGAGAAGCAAGTGAGGGCAAATAATCTGCACACTTCTAGAAGGGGAACCTACGACAATTGGTGTACTAAAGTTGCAGCGGAAGGATCATTCAAAAAGGCCTTTGATAATAGTTTGGCTTTTTTAACATGTTTCTTTAAATTTTTTAAAGCATGTAACTAAAAACCAATTGGTAATTGATGGATAGGTCCACAAGGGTCATATATTGGCTGGGAGATATTATTTCATCAATGCGTGGTAAGCTCTAACACTACCCTGTACCTCTAACACAATCATGTAGGTCAGAATTCCACTTGCACGTGAATAGATAAACAAAAGAATCAGTTTGGAAATTTGGATACATGACAAGTGCATATATTCTACAAACAAAGGGGAATTTAATTACCAAATTGAGTCATGCCCAAACCCTGCCGGAGCCCATCGTTGATGCTAACATCCAACGCAAAACCAATTGGTAATAGGCAGATGGGTCCACAAGGATCATATACTAGTTTGATGGATGATATTTTTTCGATGTGGGACAAACTGGGACAAAGCCAAATCCAGTATGAAATATTTGAAGCAGTGATGACTTGAGTCAATACAAATGGACTATCAAGGTGCCCAATGGCTTCATATTCTCAAAAACCTTTTTTTTTTGCTAGATCTTGTGGGATTTCTACAAGTCAGATTCCTTTTGAACACTTGACTAATAATTTCGTGGGTGACCAATTATTCTGCTAATCTGCAAAATCCACAACATAAAATGGTACTTCCAAATATATACGAATTTTCTACATGTTTAATTCTTGTCAACTCTGCTGGGATGGTCCTTTTGCTAAAGTTTTTGGTACTCTCTTTATATGATTTGGAAGAAAAAACTAGTTTGGTTTGGTCAATCATTTGAGGCAGGTTGAATATGTTGTGGAGTATATTGTAATTCATGAGTGTCTCATGGTAGTGAGGGTTTTTGTAATTATGTTTGAGTTGCAGAGATTTAAATTGTATTGCTCTGATTCTCACATGTGTGAGCTTTTGTCTCGAGGTTCGTTTTGCCTTTTTTGTCTTTACTATCATCAGTTTCTTAAAAAGTCTTTAGAAGCCCCCTCTTAATTTATTTGTGGATTGTTCTGAGCACTTCACCACTTAATCGAAAAGCAACAAGGCGACTACTTTTGTGATTTTTTCTTTTTGCTTGGTGATGAGGATGATTTCTAAGGTGGAAACATTGACAATTAGTTGCTTGACTTGTGTATTTTCTGTTTTCACATGTTAGGATGTGGGATATTATTGGTGTCTTTTTTAATTTAAATTTTCATGCTTTTGGTTGCCATTAAGATCGAGATATTATTGGTGTTTGTTTCATTTTAAACATTTATGCTTTTGATTGCATTTGAACATTTAGTAGTAACTGAACTATAATATTTGCTTGGTTTGTATACTTTCGTCTCACTGCGATCAAGCTCTCGCTTTGCCTGTCGCCTCTTGCCTAGGCCTCAAGAGACCTAAACACTTCAATATGCTTTACGCCTTAAATAGCACTGGTCACATTAGAGTATTGTTACGTTCTACTGGGCTGAGAACTGTACATGGATGAAATTAGGCGGTGATTTAAGAAGGTTCTACATAGTAAACTCCAGATTTTAATCTAAATTGAATTAATTTCTGTTTTTACGACTTTAGGAGGATTCTGATCTCTTTCTTGGGATTTGAGGAATATGTTTATCAACTGGATGCAGGAAATGCAAAAAGCTATATAAAATCATCAAGAATTAAGGAACATAATTTGGTTACAAAAGAGACTGGATTGGATATGAAAGGGAAGCTATGAGCTAGGCACATTCAAGGGAGTACATTAAATTACATCTATTTTTTGTCTGTGTAATTAATTGCAGAGCCAACAACTGTATACTTTTGATTGAGATGGTGGGTTCCAACTTGAGGACAACCACTTTGTGAATAGTGTTGAAGGTTAGGTCTCTACCCAATCTTGCATCTCCTAGTTTCAGACCCCTATTAATGGGGAGGAAACTGGTGGTTAATTTTTAAAAATTTTTTTGACTGTAGAATCTAACTTTGTCCATCTAAATAGTGGAAATGTGTGGGACAAGGGCTAGCAGAAGTAAAAATACGGTAACCTTGTTTTTCTTTTAATTTTGACACCAGTGGTATTTTGGGTGAGGCTTTTAATGTAGGATATCCAACATTGTACGGATCCCACGTCAAGGACTCCTAACTTTTCCGGAGTGCTTGTATGAAGGAATTTTTTATTCTTATAATTATGAATTAGTTTTAACTATCTACCCACTTTTTTTTTTTTAACCATGATTTTGCAGTATGGATCTTGCAGTTGGTATTGCTGCTATGAATTTGATAAATTTGTCGAACGTAACGTTAACTCGTAGCAGTCTCAAAGTAAAGCTAGATGTTTGTGTTGTCTCATTTTTGTTTAATGGTTACATTTGCCCAGGATAAGGAGTTAATGGTATAAGGTTTTGGTGCATCTGGGGGTTGCTGATCTGCAGTCAAGAGTAAATGCAGAACTGGAGAATGTTCAGCTGTTGACAGGTAGTATCTTCATCACAGTAATTTTTAGATGTAAACCTGTTCCACCGGGACACATATCTCATTGAAGGTTGATGCTCATGCAGTGATCAGTTGGTCCTCTAAATGGCTGGTTCATGGATGGAGGAGAACTTCAAAGCCTCTAGGTATGCTTTCTTTATCTTTGCATGCCTGCTTCCTCAATCCATATTTTCCCATTGAACTGGAGTTATTAGCAAATGACTCAGATGATTTGGTTTTGTGATTTGTAACTGCAGCTCTCTATGATTCAGCCATCAGAGAGTTCTGGAAGTTGTGCTTTCATATTATGTAATTTAATTTTCTGGCATATACTGTAGGACTATGCAAATGTGCAATTGCTTGGGTACTCAAATTGGGTTTCTTTAACATTAAAGTAGTTTGTACACCTTAGGTAATTGACATAAGTTTGTCTCTACCAGGATAAACAATATTTTAATACTAGGTGAAAGAAAGTGTCATGATTGCATCTTACATCGGCCTAAGGTGGTTAGGAATAATTTGAATCATGTGTGATCATAAATGAGTTTTATTTGTATGGCGTCTTTTTACTTTTAATACAATTGTGTTTCCTATCATAAAAATAATTTGAATCAATGTCTTAACAGTCGGTGCATTGTGACCCCACATGAACTTTTAATGATTCCAGTTGGGTTTAAATATAGCAAATCAAAACCAGAAAGAACCAAAGGGTAAATTGGCTTTGCTGATTGAAGCAATCAAATTTGCGTGTTTCAAGATCCAGTTATGTTGATGAAGAGGGAAGAGCTTGCAGATCAACAAAAATTAATATGTGGTTGCATGCTTGACACATTAATGAATAACTAATCCAGTTGTTAAAAATGTCAAGGAAGTATCTTAAGTTAGGAATGCAGGTGAACTGTTCTTATTGATTAAGCATATACCTATTAGTTTGATAGGTAGCATGCATTCATCTGTATCCAAGCTAAAACTTGAACCTGCACCCCTCCTCTTGCCCAAGTTAATGACTCATGATCAGACAAAGCACTTTTCAGCTCTGCTTTGATCGGTGTACTTATTGGAGAACCATAAGAACTCTAAAGCTTTTGGGCAATCCTATGGTTTCCCACAACGCCATGCTTTCCCAATCAACGCACTACTCTAGATTCATGTTGATTGATATCTGTGGTGTCTCATGTCCAATAGACACGAGTATTGCTTTAATTTCTTCAGTGCTCTATTATTTATCTATATTGCCTATATATTTGTAGATGCTATTACACCGTTTTTTTTTTTCTGGAGGAAAGAAAAAGTGGAGGTATTAGGCATTGAGGGACAGAACTTGAACATGACAAAATACGCTCTTGGTGAGGAATCCTAACATCACCTAGAAGTGGAATGTACTGAACGATAAGATCTGTTGCAATTTGAAGGGACTTTTGTTTCAGAGGCAATGAAGCTAGAGGATCAGCAAATGAAAAAACATGAGAGAATGCAAATGCTGCTAGTAGTGCAGCCACTGGACGTTTCTGGACAAGAAAGAGCGACCAGGGTGATGTTTCCAGCTGATCATGAGCAGGCTGACATGTCATTGGTCGATCGACCTGGTAAAAAATGGTTGACTAAACTTGCTTTGAGAATGTTTCAGCCATATACTTACATCCAGTACCTTTGGCGTGCTTTATTACTCACAGCTTAGCTTATGATAAAATGCTAATCCCTCTATCTGGCATACAGAACTTTTTAATATATGTCTACATAAATGGTTTGTAAAGATAGTGGATGTTGGTTAATGTGTGGGTTAATGGCCTTTTCCTACTAATATGAGTATCATTTTTTGATGTTTACTTTGACATTGTAACATCCATTAGGCGATTCCTCTTTTTTTGGTCAGATGCTATTACAGGGGAGGGGAATAATGAGGTTCAAACCTACGACCTTAAGTTCTAACAACAGGGATGGTGGTCATTAGGCCAACTGCTAATTTCCGTTAGCCTATTCCCAAGTTTTGGAGAATGTCTTCATAGCTGAAGATGATAAGTGTGGCAATGTAGCATTAAGTTGGTGAGTAGCTGGGGTTGAACTGCCCTTGTTTGACAGGTTATGGTACTGCAGAAGCAGGCATTTAATGACTTGGAATTGGATTTATGACTCAAGATAAGCCTGACAGGGAAGATGGAGTTTGGATATTGTTGTATTATTATTATTTTATTTCTTGTTATAGTTGTGGAAACAGGACCATATTGTTCCATAAATTGATAGAAATGTATGGTTACATACGTTGTTAGAGAGAGGAAATAGTTAGTTGGCCTAGTAGCAAGTATGGGATTACTAACCCCACGGGTGGCCCAGCGGGTAAAGTTAACTATGGGGCGCGTTGTATATGCAGATGTTTTGAATTTGACACTGGTTAATGTATCTTGAATTAATCAATATTTATGGCTTGCAGGTAATTCAGGTTTATTCAGAAGGATGAGTCCAAAAAGCCCTGCCTCGGAAGAGTTCCAGGTCAAGAAAAAAAAGGGTATTCCAATTCTTTTGGTATACTTAAAAATCAACAGATCAATTAAAGTTTATAGAATTGATATTCCGAGTGAATCAACATGTATAGAGTAGAACTTTGAACTAATATTTGTGCACAAATCAACAACTTGGATTTTATTTTATTTTTTAATCCCTTCTTGTTCCTTATAGATATACCTATATATGTACACGCTTCCCTATGCTTGTGCCAAACTTGCTTTGTTTAATGACGGATATAATAAAATTTTATGTTGAAAAATTTATTTTTCGATATGCCACGATTTTTTTTATTATAAACAATAATAGTAAACATATCGTTTTATATACTTGAATCATAATAATAAATTCAGACAAAAAAAAAATCATAATAATATAAAGGAAAAATTTCAGCCACACTTTTTTTAATTTATCATATTTTTAAGGATGCCCCTATATTATTCAAAATATTATTGACACTCTTTTTAGTTTATATTTAAACATTATTGACACTACTTGTTATTAAACAACCGTTTTAAACAAGAAAAATTTGTCTAAAATATAAAAAAATTGTCCCTGTATAAATTCCAAACAATCTTTTTATATAAATTTTGATTAAAATTTGATTCGAGTTGATTAAATTTTGTTGTTTTTAATGTATTAAAATTCGAACTGTTTTGAGCTCTACTTAAACTATTAGCGCAGATTAAAATCTATATTTTTTCTTTATTAAATTTCATGCCAATTAAAGTGCAAGTTGATTAAAATTTGAATTGGCTCAAATTTTAGTACTTAAAATAATATAATTTTTAATCGACTAGAATTTTAATAGCTAAAAAATGAATTTTAATTAGCTTGAATCGTATTTTAATATGTAAAATAATTTAGAAAATAGAGGATGTCTCATTAAAGATATATCTATCTAGAAGGACCGTAGATGAAAGTTTTACTAAAATATATCATATATAATTTAGTAAAATTATATTCTAATTAATATTTTTAATCTGACAGATGGTGTCAGTGAAAATTCATAAAATAGAGGGGAATGTGACTAAAATTTTTCCTAATATGAAAAACAGAATACCTAATATCATAGAGATGTAACGTAAAACATGCAAATGTGTGAATGTGTGTATGTGTGTGTGTCAAAAATGGACTGCGTTTGTGAAGCCTGTGGTGGCTCCACCACCGGTCCTTGTAGAGCTGTCACCGATAAGAGAGCCAGCCTGGTGGCATTACCAGAGGGGATAGCCCTATCATTTTGTGGGATAAGAGAAGAGGGAGGGAGGCCCATGCCTATATCATTCTTTTCGGTGAGAGAAACATTCATTGATCACCACCACTCCAAAAGAATGAATCACATGACATTTTTTAATGCCTTTTTTGAGAAAGACATGGAAACAAGGTTCAAGTTATTATTCATTTCTAAAATTTTTTTCATCGACTCAATTAAGGTATTAGTGATTTTTCCTATTCGATAACAAAGATCGCATCTTTTTTTTCACTTCCTTTAAATAAGAGTTTTACTTGTTCGAAATTGTTATGTTTTCGACAATTTGAATTGATCTCAATTTTTTTTTTCAATCGACCATATCTCGATCACATTGATTTGTAACATAACATTTTTAAAATGAGGGTTGATATAATTGGATCATATCTTTTATTATTATACCAAAATTATACAAGGTGAAGAAAAAAAAAAGGAAATAAAAAATAATATATGAACATGAAACATCTAAGCATGTTCAATACATAATAATGAACTTATTTTATATTCTTTTCTTGCCCACAGGATAAGAATGAATATATTCACTTTATAGAGGACTCAAGCCATTTGTTTTTCTATTCCTTCGAGTGGATAATGTTCCTATTTTCCTTTCTTTTCTTTCTTTTTTTTGGCTTGTTGTTTTGGGTCAGTGAGAAACTTCGCATTTTTCAGTGAGGTTTAGTCATAGAGGCAAATCAATTTGCACTTGATAGCATAGAAAGGAATCTTAAGGTGTACTTTGAGTGGTAATAAGGGTTAGTTGTAAATTTAGATGTCATAGTTTAGAACATTGACAATTTCATGGAATCAAGTTATAAGAAATTTATCTGTCATGAATACCTTAACTTCGATGTGGATGATTTGTATTTGACCAGACCGGAAAGATAATTAATTAAGACGTGTATAAACTAGCTCGAACACCTTTAACCGTTGAACCCAAAAAAAAAAGATAATGTAGAAAGGTAAAATAGGATTCCATTTTTCTATTAGGATGTTTGACTCAAGTGGGAGGGAGGAGATACATTGGATCTTTTTAAATACTTGGGGGTTAGTTGAAACAGAACCAAAAATCAAAAACTTAATTGAAATTAGGTGAAAAGGTTAAAGGACAAATGTACTTTTTTGCTCTTTATGTAGCCTTAAATATCCCTAGGCCCTACCAACCCAATCAAGTGAAAACACACCCATTTTGTCGTAAGGAGTTTCTCAAGGAAATGGATGGAAGGGACACATTCAAATTTCTAAATAGTTGAAGGACTTAATTCAGGAAAAAATAAAAATTATGTGCTTAATTAAAATTGAGTCTAAAGATCTAGGGGCTAAATATGATTTATATCCTTGAGGAAAATATATCAAATTACCAATTATTGCAAGTTTGAATTTTGAATGCTTTTCTCACATGTCTTTGCAAAAAAGTGTAAAATCAAACAGCAAGCAAATGGTTTTGGTGGCAACCACTTTTTATTTTGTCGTTTTGATGAAATATGCTCCTAAATAATGCAATGAAAGCTCAAAATAAAAAAGAAACAAGAGAGAGAGAGAGAGAAAGAAGTTATTTCAATGCTGATCTCATTTGGATAGGAAGAGATATTGATAAATTATTCCAAGGATGTTTACTACTCAACTGGTAGATTAGGTGAGCCAGCTATGATCGCTAAACTTGTCAAACCACCAACATATACAAAATTGAATAATAGGTTTCAATATAGTTAAGGAAAATGGATTTTAGAAGTAGGATATGAAAGTTTATTTATTTATTATTTTTAATGTTATAATTTTTCAATTTTAAGAGATGGGAATAAAAGAGAGCGCGGAAAGACCACCCCAATAGACCCTCATTGGTGGGATCATGATGACTCTCGTTACTCTTCTCTGAAAGGAATTTAGTTAAGTTAATATAACGGTCAACTACTGAGTCTCAATATAAATTCTAAAACTCGAATCTCCAATTTTAAAATGAGTACGAAAATTTATTTATATACAATGGATAACACCTATAATCTATGGACGACTAGTGGAGTTCATAAAAAAAAAAAAGGTCTATTACAAAGTTGTCCATTCTCTCTATATCTCTACTTGTTGGGTGGTTGCAAATAATAGTGTGGCAAATATCATCAAATTTTTTAAAGGCTCGATCATGAGGAGAAAGTCAACAACTCAAGCTAAAGCTAAACAATCGACCCTAACAAGAAAAAGAGAGCCTTGGGAGCCTTATGCGGCTAATAGAGGAGTTCTTATTATTAGAGAGAGAGAGAGAGAGAATTTATTTCAACGATGGTAGGTTTCTTGCCACACTGAATGTTGCAGTGGTAGTAGGTTGTTGCCACTTAGTGAACTGCCTCATCAGAGGATCTGCCCAATAAACCCATTGTTTCTAAATTCTAAAGTTTTTAGGGTTAACCCCAAGGAACAACTCAAGTAATAAAGAAACGATTTGCAAATTTAGACGTCCTTAGTTTAAATTTAAACAACTCCTTAGGGTTAGGCCTTGAGAGATTTATTTCTTATGAATACTTTAGTCCTGACGTAGATAATCTACCTTTGACCAGACTAAAGAAAGAATTAGTCAAAACGCGCTTAAGTTAGTCCGAACACTACTAGCCGTTGAACCAAAAAAAAAAAAAGTTTTTAGGGTTAGAATATGGTACTGTAACAAAACATACAATTTTTTGTAGATTAAGTTATGATCGATTCTAAAATTTTAGGATACATCCAACATATCCTTAATATGTATAACTGATTTAGGATTGGTTTTAAAATGTTGGATTCTATCCCAAACATCTATCTGTAAATACTCATACCCTGATCATTTAATGTTTGAGACCGATTTTAAATTAACACGTTCAAATTATACCCCTATTAAATACTTGTCGCCTTTTGGTATAAAATAGAATAGGTAGAAAACGACTCAAACCAAACTTGATAATTATTCCTATTCGAAATTTGTGTAGCACCTTCAATAATTTTTTCTCATATGAAAACCGACTAATACTTTTTTCATAAAACAACTAAGGCATCACATGTCATAATAATTTGGAAAGGAACTATTCATAGGTGGGGTTCAAGATGTTGTCTCCAAATGGAATCTTTCTCAACAATAACGTGTGTGCGCTACATTTTGAAAGTGTTTGTCATCTGGCTCCTTAAAGCAAAAGTTTACCAAATTGATTGTAAATATAAAGAGTACAAACTAATTTTGAAAAATTAAAGGAGGCTATTTGAGAACTGTTTGGTTTGTATATCAGAAACTGTTTTTCTGTTTTCGAAAATAGTTTTTGGAAGAAAAGTTGTTTGGTCAGTTTTTTTTTGTTTTTGTTTTTAAAAAATTGAGAATAAAAATTGGGTAGATTTAGAAACTAAGTTATGATTGTTTTATGTGTTTTTTGAAATAACATTTTTCAGACTTTAGAAAACACTGCCACCACCACCACCACCACCAACACTATCATATTCACCACCATCACATTTTTGTTTTTATTATTTTTTGGGTTACTGTCCAAATAAGATTTATTATTTTTTCTTCCGTAAAATTATTTTTGAATCATATACCAAACAAGTTTTGCAACAAAAAAAACATAAAAACACAATTTTTTAAAGTTCTTCCCAAAAATAATTCTCGAATACTATTGTTTTGAGACGCAAACTAAATAGAGCCAAATTTTGGTCATTTTACCATGAGGTCCTTCACTGATAATGTAATTCATTGAATAAAAAGTTGTACCCGTGTGCACAAGGTTTGACCTAAAATATGATTTCGATATGGAAATGTCATGCAAAATTATTTATTTTGAAGAGATTAATTTTCAAACTAGACTTGCAATGTATTGCGTTGCAGATAATTATCATTATATATCTTTAAAAAATAAAACAAATTAAGTATATTGAAAGATTACCCAATATAGAAGTAGAACCGGGGGTTTACAATACCTAAGTAAGTTTGGTATATTTAAAACAAAAATTAGTTCACGCATAAAGCTCGTACCACCACGGATTTAAAAATGCTTATATGCATGCAGTCTTACCTTACAATTTAGAGAGATAATTTTTGCGGTGTAAAAATTTGATGCTCCTATCATAATAAAATAATCTTATTATCATAGGAACAATGCTACAGATTTGAGATCTCAAATCAATCTAGATTATTATATCAGTGAGTTCCGTTAATAAAAATTAACAGGACCCACTCATCTAACAATCCCGACTCATTTTCGATACCTTTTGGGATCCAAAGTATCTTCTCGAGTAAAAACCAAAATTGTGGCAGGGAGCTGGGTTTGAAATCACGAAAAAGTTCCATGAATGGTTACTGTTATATTTACTCGCCTGATCGAATGGTTACTGTAAAGTTTGACTTTTGGGGCTTTTTGTGATTATAATTAAAAGTAAGCTTTATTAGTTTTTTTAACATGGGTTGGTTGCTCAATCATGTAGGATAATAATATATATCAAGGAAGTAGGTTATCTAAACTCAATCATTATCTCCAGTTTTGGATTTAAATTTTGCCCCAATTATTATAATATTTTGTACTTGGGCGGGCCCATACCTAAACTAAAATTGTTGCTTGTCACTGTAAGGATAAACGTATCCATAAGAGGGAATAAACCATCAATACCTCTGCCGTCGCCACCAATATCAGAAGGGTATTTTGGACAAATTGACCTTAATCTCACCTCTGAATCCTGAGTAAACTGGTGCATGGGATGGATATAGAATTAATACGAGTAAGACTGTCCATATAGAATTAATATGGATAAGACTGTCCCTATGTTGTGTTTATCTCCTGTGATGGATGGATTACACAGGATTGAATGTGGTTATCCTTTTTTTTTTTAATACCACCACTACACAACATAACATATAATTATTGTTGAATTTATTCTAATTATACAAATATCTTAACAATATAATATAGTATGAATAACAATATAATATATATATATATATATATATATAATGTCGTGGGCATAATTTTTGTGTATTATTTTTTTTATACCACCTGATTTGGTATAATTATAATCATTGAATATTTAATACTCGGTAAAACCTGCTAATTTAATGGGATATATTGAAGTGATCTACACAGATAGTGTAGAAAGGGGTGTGTAGTATTATTATAAATATATCTATAATATATAGTATGACTGCTTTCAATTAAGTTTATTTGACGATTTCAAATAAATTTATTCGACGGTTATCAAAATTTATTTCACAAGTATTCATATTGTATCGTATTGTCAAACACAAATAATTCCTTATATATATAATAAAATAACTTACAATTCAAATTTCAAAAATAAACAAAATGATTTTTACTATTTGTGGTTGAGATCGCTTTAAATTTTATTTTAAAATTAATCTAATGGTTAATATTAACACTCTAAATTTAATAGGAAAAAAAGTCCATGCGGGTGTGTTTGGAGTGACTTTTTAAAAGTATTTCTATAAATTACATTTCATAAATACTTTAAAATAAAAATAGTATTTAAAACCGCCTCACTGCCACCCTTACCACCACCACCACATTCACCACTGTCACCACCACTACCATCACCACCACCACCACGGTTATTACTACCCAATACAATCATCATTGTCTTGTATCACACTATTGCCGCCTATCACCCTTCACTTCCACTATAAATCGATATTTAAATTTTTTTATTTCTTAAATATAAATATAAATATATTTATTATTTATTATTTATTATTCTGACAATAACTATTATTAACCCTCGTAGAGAAATCTTATGGTGTTGAAATCTTTTAGCTTCTACTATATATATATATATATATATATATATATATATATATATATATATATATATATATATATATATATATATATATATCTTTTAGCTTCTATCAGGGTTAATAGTGCATGAAGAATATTATGTTATGGTGGCGTAAAAGAAGTTGCTGATAGAAAGAAATCTGGGTCTAGACCATTCCACTACTGATTGTATTGAATTGAATCTCCAAGACCAATAAAAGTTAAAAGAAAAGGTGACAAACTCATTCTTTGCAGTCACATTCATATGACGTGGCCCTTATCTGTAGATACACGTGTCACCCTTATAACATTTCGGAGGTGAATGCTTAGTTGTCAGTACAGGTATGGGATGGTCACCCAGCCACAAATGAAGTCGTATAATATTTCCATCCTGTTCTTTTGAACTTTTTTTTTTTTTGTCCTCTTGAACCCCGGGCTAGCGAAACAGAGGTTAATTCAAAAAGTAAAATAAAAAAATCAAATTTTAAAAAACCCTTGAAATTATTTAAAGTGTTCGAGAAAAAATTAATTTTTTTTAAATAAAATCCTTTTTTTCTTTTTTTTCTTTTGGTACTAATAAAAATTGTTTTTTCTGAATAAGTCCAAGTCCAGATAAGATTTCTTTTTCCCTGACTATTCCAGAAGCTGATGTTTTCGATTAGCTTTCACACAGACAAAATATTATTTAATGGGGAGTTGATTAACGTTATAAATCATAATAGAATCATTTACTAAAGGGGGTGAAGATGAGAACTTTAATCTAATGGAATCAACTGTATTCTTTAAAATCTTATGTCCTTGAAAGGAGGTCCAAACAAAAGTATAGGTTATTAAAAGGTGGATTATGATAAGCTACTCAATGCTTTTGTATTAATCTAATCCAACGTTTGGTATAGTATGGCATTAATATATTGATTAAAATTTAAATTTTGGTACTAATTTTGATGTTCGATATTACCCCTTGGCAATACCAGCTGACCGGATACCGGCTATAATAATTTCCCAACAACCCACCGCTCTCAATATAATGTTGTCATCCATGCTCGGACATCTTGCCACAAACCTCACAGCCTAAAGAGTGTGAGACTGAGACTTCCCCTCTTTCTCCTATCTTGATCCTCAAACCCTATCGATTTCATTCCTCCAAACCCAACAATGCCTTTTGTGTATGAGAGAATAGCGATCGGCAACCACCACGAGCTCCGCCAATCCGGCAGTCTCAAGGCGGCGTTGGCCGAGTTCATAAGCACCCTTATATTTGTCTTCGCCGGCGAAGGCTCCGGCATGGCATTCAACAAGATCACGGGAAACGGTGCCACCACCCCAGCCGGACTTGTTGCCGCCGCGTTGGCTCATGCGTTCGGGTTGTTTGTGGCGGTGGCCATCTCAGCTAACATCTCCGGCGGCCATGTCAACCCTGCAGTCACTTTTGGGTTGTTCCTTGGTGGTAACATAACCCTTTTCCGTGGCATTTTGTACATAATTGCTCAGCTGCTTGGATCCACCATCGCTTGCTTGCTCCTCCTGTTCGCCACCGGTGGCTTAGTAAGCACAACTGATCAAACATGAAAGTTGGCTTTTATAGTTAGTTTGACCATTAATTTTTATCTATTTTTTTTTAAACCAAAAAGTGGACAAATAAATGAATAAAAATGGGATCTAAAATTATATAATAATATTATTTAGAATAAAAATGGGATCTAGTAAGATAGTTTCCTTATAACCATTAGGTTAACACTTGATCAATTTAAATAAATTAAGCCTCAATAACATTGTTTGTTTAAAGCGATAGTATTAGACTTTTGTATCAACTATCAAGAAGGACATTGAGAAGAAAGTTTCATATACCGGAGGAGGGGATCTTAATTTCTCTATTTTGGTACCATTTTTTTTTTTTTTTTTGGGGTTGTCTTGCATTATTATTATTATTATTTTTTTTATATTGGGAAGAGTGTAACAATTAATAAACTGTTCCTGTTGTGGCAGGTCAAAAATATTTACATTAATTTATTTTTTGGTTCAGTCAACATCAGTCATCTATCACTTTGCACTATCAGATGTGACAATTATAGGGAGATTAGTGGAGGAATGATAGCGTGTTAGAATTAGAAAATTCACTTGCTTTTGCTTCCGACAAGAAAGACTTCAATAATTCACCTTCCAAAATATGGTGACAATTTTGGGATTAATTTATATTAATTTTTTGGGTAAATATCATGGATACCTCCAACTGTGGCCCCATTGCCCCATTTTAAAATGTCACCTTATCTTTCATTTGTTTCAATTTTTTTCAATGACAATGACACCCATCCTTGCACCTTTCATTTGGTTCAATTGAAGCACGTCTCGATTATTTTCTATTTAATTCGGTCAAAATATCGATAATTTATGTTGGAATTAAGATGTTTTATAATATATATGAATTTCTTATGACATAGTTTCAATGGGAATATTTACATTTAAAATATATAAGTTTATAATTCGTTTATGTTACTACTTGAATTATCTTTGCTTGCGGTTTGGTATACAAAATTTGGATACCTTAAATCATTAGGAAGACATTGGAGGCTACGATTTGCTTAAGCTAATCCTTTGCTAGTGGATTACTCGTGCAGTTTTTAATTGTTTTAATTTAGTCTTTAAACTTGAGAAAGGAAATTTAGGGACAAATTTACAATAATCATGACTTTTGTGTTGTCCTTGTTAATATAATTTTAGTAGCCAGCAAGTAACCTTCTAACCCAGTAAAAAAAATTGGATTTTTATGCAGGAAACAGCAGGATTTGGGCTTTCTGGTGTTTCTGTGTGGAACGCATTTGTCTTCGAGATAGTCATGACGTTCGGACTGGTTTACACCGTTTACGCCGTAGCCGCCGATCCAAAGAAGGGTGAGGTCGGAATAATTGCACCCCTAGCTATTGGGTTCATCGTCGGAGCTAACATTCTCGTTGGTGGTGCCTTCACGGGAGCTTCAATGAACCCTGCAGTGTCATTTGGGCCTGCTTTAA